AAGCAGGACATGAAAAATGTGCAATGTCCTCGCCGGGATTCAAACTCCGGACCTCCCTATTACGCATGCTTCCAGTTGCACCGTGAAGGCAGGCGGAAGAAAGGAAAAACATACCTTCTATATAGATTAATTTTGCTCTATGCTTATTAAACTAAAAATGGTTTCCTTGTGAACTAACTCCCTCTGGGTTTAGAGAATAGAGCAGGCAGATGAATGTTTCTGCATCAGCACAACATTTTTTTTCGCAATGGAGGGCATTAGTCATTATTAAGCATCGGCCATTCCTAAGGCCGGAAGGGGTGGTTATTTTATTATGGAGGCACCTAATTGGTGGTCCACCGTTGCCTCCTATGCAGAGACAGATAATTTACATGCATGCTTCCTTCGGAATTCGAACCTGGTCACTTCGGTACAGCAGTCAGTGTCACTAACCACTTTTCCGCCTGGGCGGTACAACATATACAGGGTAAGTCAAAATGAATATAGCGATTACAAATGGCTATAACTATTTATTGAAAAGGAATTAATTTTATAATTAACATATAATGTAGAGGGAACTTCAAATTTTGTATAAATACGTCATAGATGTTCAATGTGACTTCCCTTGGTCACACGGACAACATCTAGGCCGTAGTCCATTTCACGCCATATACACTCATGTCCATAAATTAAGGATAATGCAAAATCAGGCAAAGGAAGAGTTATAAGCAAAACAAATTTGACTTATTTGTAAAGCTTATTTATTAAACAAAAGGTAAAGAGCAAAAAAAGATGCTATATGTTTGATATTATTAAAAAAATTAGCGATTTTTTTCTCCCTGGAGCAAATTACCAAAAAAAAAAAACAAACTATTTACAAAAAACCAATATTACATGGTTGGTTATGATTGTTAATACATTGTATGTCTCCCAGACGATGCAATACAGTCCGTACAACGCCTAGGCATGCTGAGTATCAAATTATCGATCTGATCTTGGGGGATATTACACCACTCAAAAAGCAATGCTCTCCGAAGTTCCGGTAGACATGTAGAAGGAGGTTGACGGGCTGCAACTCGTCGGCCAAGCATGTCCCACACGTGTTCTACTGGATTCAAGTCCTGGTGAGAATGCTGGCCAGTCCATACGGGTGATATCCTCCGATTGAAGGCATTCGCTTACGATATTTGCACGGTGAGGACTGGCGTTGTCATCCATAAACAAAATTGTGTGCGCCCATGGCGCCCGAAACAAATGTACATGTTGTTCCAGAATGACGTCCCGATAGATTTGGCTTGTCATGGATTCCAATTTGAACATGAAGGTCAGTTCTGGAACCCAGAATAATTCCACCCCAAACGAGCACTCCTACACCACCGTAACGGTGTCGTTCAATGATGCTTTCTTGGTGGTAACGAATACCTGGAGCTCTCCATATGAAAGTCCGGCGAGAATCAGACTGCAAGCTAAACCTGGACTCGTCGGAAAACATCACACAAGCCCACTGTTGCGGTGGAAAACATCACACAAGCATGCTCTCTACTCCAGGCTAACCGCAGGCGACAGTGAGTTGCAGTAAGTGGAACGCATCTGACAGGTCTACGAAGCATATAAACCAATCTGCCCTAAGCGTCTGTACACGGTCTGCCTTGAAATTGTCGTACCAGTGGCTGAAGAGAGCTGACGAGACAGGTCTGAGGCTGTGCTCCGTCTGTTTCTTTTGGCAGTAACTGCCAAATACCGGTCCTCATTCGGCGTTGTAACTCTGGGGCGACCTGTGCTGTAACGTCTACTCACATTACCATAATCTTGGAATCGTTGCCAAAGCCTAGAGATGACACTCTGGTCAATTCCAAGTTCGTGTGATACTTCCAGTTGAGTACGCCCACATTCCAGACGGCCAATAATTCTACCACGTAAAAAATCATCCAAATGCGTCCTTTGTGTCAAACTATTCGGTTATTGCACTGAAATGCTTATAAAGCGCCTGCGAACAATTTTACTTCTTTGCCTGTATTCCTTATATATCTCTCTCTTACACTCTCGTCATGGTGGCGTACCATCGGTATCATCTGGTTACTTCCTGAAATTTGCATATGATTCTTGAAGATGTGTGTAGCGATTTTACAGGTGATATATTTATTTTAGAGTTCGATTTCCGCGTGACTTATCCTTAATTTATGGACATGAGTGTATTTCGAAGCATTTGTTCAATCACCGACGCAAGCGCATTACAAATGCGTACTTTGAGTTCTTCAATTGTTTTGAGCATGGGAGGCATAACCACCCTGTCTTTCACATAACCCCATAGAAAACCTAGAAATTACTTAGACATTACAAATGCTTCAGAATGTATGGCGTGAAATGGACTACCGCCTAGATGTCGTCCGTGTGATCGAGGAAGTCACATAGAACATCTATGACGTATGTATACAAAATTTTGAAGTTCCTTCTGCATTATGTGTTAATCTTAAAGATAAATTCGTTTTCAATAAATAGTTATAGCCATTTGCAATCGCTATATTCATTTTGACTTACCCTGCATATTAAAATAATTTTAATTCTGTTTTCCATAGGAATTATAAAGCAAGAACTAAGGTACTGTCTACATTTATTTTCAAATATTATGAAATAAATGATTCATACCTAAAGCAATAATATATTCTACACAGTTTCTCGATTTGCAATATAATGGTTAAATTAATGATCATAAAAGCTGACTGACTATGTGAGCTTTATATCTTTTGATAAGAATGGCAGAAATTGAAGATATGAATCTGCTTGTATTTTAGTCAAAGCTCAAACTAATTTAAACATTTATTTAGTCTTATACAATTATTTGAACCTTTTCTTTAAGCTAAAATATTTTACTTTTGTCTGCTAAGTCAATATGTTGCACTAATTGTTTCCCAAATTGTGACAGTTTTGTATGTAACTGTGAAACATTGTACAGTTTCATAATGTCAAATGGTGATGTAAATATAAGACAGCTATAAAATGTATACAGCATACGGATATCTCATAAGAGAGATCATCCAAAAATGCTTATCTCATATTAATAAGTTCCGTTTCTTTGATTAGCCACGAGTATCTTTAAAGGAATGCTGTACTGAGTGCGATTGTTTATTTCCTGCAGTGAGCAGTTTTTGAAGTTCATAAAGGTTAATCTGATTATTCAAAGTATGAGTTACACTAGTAATTCTTATAATTAAGGAATAATGCATTATATGAGAAAAGGGAGAAATTATTTTGAAATACATTAATTAATTTTAATTATTTAAGGAAATTCTACCTCATATTTCTAAACTTCTTTTCATGTATAATTTAAAAAAAGTATGTCAGCGATCACAGTGACTTTCATACATATACACTAACAAAAACATATCACTTTATAAGAAGTGATTCATGCAGATACTAAATAAATAACCTTGCAGCAACTGAAAATTGTTAAAAGTTGTTAAAGAGTTGTTAAACTTTCTCAATTGCTGTTAATTTTTATTTATACTAAATAAGTATTAATGCAAAATAAAATATGTAGTTAGAGTTGGAATAAATTGAATTTTCAGTTTAAATATATGAACGGCAATATTTAAATTTAAAGCTGTGTTATGCTTTAATGCTTTATATTTTTACGTTTTCATTAATATTTCATACTTAATAGCTTTTATTTCAGAGTTTAATTTATATAAACTCACTTAATTTCTAATGTTAATAACAGATAAATCTAAGTTTTGCTTGTTATATTTTTTTTTCGTGTAAAAAGTTACCCATTCAAAAATGTTATGTCATCCTATACGTAATATAAATTTTGTCACGAACTGTTAAATAGGAATTTAAAACCAACAAACAACAACAACAAAAAAAAAAAAAAAAAAAAAAAAAAAAAAAAAAAAGAAATTTGCAATTCTTACATTTCTAGGTTAGAAAAGAACCGTTTTCTTAATCAAGTTGTTAGATATAAAACGGAATTGATTTTTTAAAGAAATATGAAGCATGAAAGGTTCAAAATGAAGGCAAGGCAGAAAATGCAACATTTAACAACTTGATCTGGAGAAGATAACGCTGCGTGTTCGTGAAGTAATTAATATAAGCCTCTTTTTTAAATTTAAATTGTCACTAAATTCTGAGCAGGATATGACTAAAGGAAGCGGTAGATGAAAAGAATCCTGCACTGACTAAACGTGTCCTTTCATTATGTCATCACAAGATTTCAGACGGTGCAAGAAACACTGCAAAATTTTAAGTCAGTTTGAAATGGAAACTGACTCATCAGCTATATCCTAAATTCTTAGATTATTATCTTCTTCAAAGAATTCAATACCACATTAACGGAAAAATATTAAATTTGAAGTATAATGGATTAAAGCAAAAGAGTTCTAATGTCAGAAAATTGAAATAAATTCGAGGTATTTAGTTAAGCAATTAAAGCTGCAAGCCATAAATATTAATAAAAGTAAAGAATTTTAGTATACTCTCAAAATTTCATCAATTATGGGATGACCTAACGTACTATAGAAACTCCGTTAATGGGCATTATTCCTAAAAGTCTGGATTTTGGAAGTAGAAGACGAAGCGTTCCCATTCAGGGAGCATTCCTTGGTTACAGAGGGAAGCTTTGGTCCTGCAAGTGTCTGCTAAGCGAGGGTTCGGCTATATTTATATTTCTTGCTATTGTGTACAAACTGTGCATTAAAGGCACAGTGAACTAAACTGCGATGATGAACTAAGCACAAATACCTTTTAAAAATTCCCTACTTTTATTTTCATCCAGCATAATGAATTGGGCAAAATCTCATTATATAATTTTAACCCACTGCACTATTAAAAAAAAAAAAAAACAGCACACATTTTGTAATTAAATATGTTTATTTTCCAACATGCCATAGTGAATTCTTTCAAATTACTTGTGTCTGCAAATCCTGACTAGCCACGTATATCAGTGAATAAAGCGTATAAGATATGCTTTGATTCCTGTTAAACAGATCTTGCATCATTGTTAGTTCTTATCACTGTGTTATTACCTCTTATTTCGAGTTCTTCGTCAGTTGTTGTAGATTCAGTTGCATTTGTCCTGTGTGAAATAGATTGACAGTCAAACCACCATACAGAAGTTGATCTCGGATATGGAGGATCACCGGAATCCACCTAAAAGTAAATTACATGCTAAAATGCAAAAGACAGAGTGTTTATTTTATTAACATTTTCATGACGTATTGCTCAAAACCAGTGCGCAGTTTTTTAAACATTTGTCTTTTTAAACTTCGTGAGTAAATCCAATGCTTTTTTGTTTAGCTTTTTTGTAAGATTTGTTAATTGATTTAAGCAATTGAAATTCATAAAAGAATATTTCTGAGCATGTAAAACTTAGATGCCTTCATAGGAAAAGCCACCTAGTGTAAAGACTTAAATCTCTTAATTCTATTTTTTGTAGCATATGGTCTAATTCTCGTGGTGGTACAGGCTGTGTGAATGTTTTCATTCTTTACGAGGAGTACCGTGTAACAGGACAATCGTGGTCACCATATGAATAAACTACGAATATATATTTCATATTAAGCTAGAGTTTGATCATCGCAGAAATCAGATACCACTGACATTATGCTTTTCGACTTACGTTCAAGCATCCGGATTCATTCAAGCATTTTGATCCTTTCTTATTCGAATAAAACTGACAAGCGAAGTCCAGTTTCCAGTAATTCAGTCAACTTGGCTTCGTTGACGAAAACCTAAGCTTCAAACATTCTGAGCAGTAATTGCGAAAGAATGAAGTTTATTAATGCGAGATTTGGCTTATATAGCTGTTATAAGACAAAACTTCCCAGCTAGAGGCGTACTTAGCAATTTTGGGCCTTTAGGCAAAAGTTAAAATAAGTATGTATACGTACATAATGAAATAAATGTAATATTATCAGAGATAATTATGAATTGAAAATCCATTTTACTCAATGTTTAATTTTTTTAAACAATACAAGACTATTTTATCGTTAAACAAAATTCAATAACAACAAAACCACTCAGAAACAATCTTAAAAAACATAACTATAAAAAGAAAAAAATTCTGATTAAGTCACATTCCCGAAAATGAATGGATTAATGAAATACAGAATCGAAACGGTCGTTTACGTATTTTTTGCGGCAAATCTTGGTATTATATATTATTTTTCAGGTCTGCTATACTTTCCTTTTCATGCTCGATGGTAGCAAGCGAAAGAAAACTTAATCATGTTTGTCCAGTCGTATTTCTTCTGTAATCACAAATGATTTATTGCTTTGAAAACAATTGTAGCAAAAGTTACAAGAAAGAAAGAAAACTATGCGTTCCATAGAAGTCGCTTTCGAGTGAACGGTGTTTTTTTAACATTTAATTCCCAGATTCATTAAAGGCCATAATTTCAATAAGGTCATCTTTAACAAATGTAATTTATTAACTGTAAATTCTGGTGACAATATTTCGGAATAAATATCGACTAAACTTTATTTAACGTGGTTTATATAAGGAAGTTCTAAAAAAACAAAGTCGATCTAAAGTTCTAAGAAACCAAGTGACATGTGTCATGCCAATAAATCGATAATTTATTTGCCGTAAAATAATATCTCAGACGCCATAAAATACATTCACAGTAAAATATACACTCTTGACGCACCACGACGCACCGAGAAGATATAAAGCAAATTGGACACAAATTTATATGCCTACAGGTTTCGACGGAAAATGCAAAATTTTACATTTGGGCTGCCAATGAATGAGCGGTTGTTGCTACAGCGCATCTGATCTGCGCAAATGGCAGGATATCTAAGAGGAGAAATTACGATTCCAGGTCATAAATTCTTCACGAATTTCATTCCGAGTACACACAGATGCGTGAACGATATGCGCAGATACCAGAATTTGAGAGAGGTCATGTAGTTGGGTTCAAAGAAGCCGGTTGGTCTTATCGGCAAATATTTCGACATTTGAGCAGGAGCGATGCCACTATTAGACGATGTTGGCAGGAATGGGTGAACCCATGAACGCACACAGCGTCAAGAAGGAAGCGGCAGGGCTAGAGAAACGACAGAACGTGAAGACCAAGCAATCGTCAGAGCGGCACTCGCAGCCCCAGATGCATCATTATCATCGACTGTACGTGTAACTAGTGCTTCAGTGACCGCAAGGTCCATTCATAGACGGCTCACAGAAAAGGGGGCTGAGGTCACGGCGCCCCTTGTGACGACTACCATTGACCTCTGTACAACGTCAAGATTGTTTGCAGTGGTGTCGGGCTCATTCGCGCTGGAATGTCACTGACTGGAGTAGAATAGTCTTCAGTGATGAGTCCCGCTTTGAAATGAGCCACGATGACCATTCGAAGGCAAGTCTGGAGACGCCCCGGGCAGCGGTGTGATACCAACCTGACTGTCTTCCGGCAGACAGGCCGACAACCAGGAGTGAAGGACTGGGGTGCCATTTCATTTCATAGTAGGACCCCTTCGGTTGTCATGCGTCGCAACCTTACAGCACAGCAGTACGTCGACGAAGATCTTGCCCTTCATGTCACGCCACCCTGGGCTTACATTTCAGCAAGATAATGTCCGCCCCCACATTGCACATGTTTCTACTGCTTGCCTTAGTGCTTGCCGAACATTACTTTGGCCAGCAAGGTCGCCAGATCTCTCTCCTATTGAGCACGTTTGGAGCATTATGGGTAGGGCTCTCCAACCAGCTCGGGATGTTGACGATCTGACGCGCGCGTTGGACAGAATTTGGCACGATATCCCTCAGGAGGACATCCGCAACCTCTATCAATCGATGCCAAGCAAAATAACTGCTTGCATAATGGCCAGAGGTGGACAAACGCGTTACTGACTTTTCACTTTGTGAAACTCTATCCTTTCAATAAATCATCCAATTTTTCTCAAACTGTAATAATTTGTTTTTCTGTACATGTGCATCACTTCTACCGATTTTCGTTTCATTCGGATAACTCCTTCTTGGTGCGTCGTTTTTTTTTTTGTCTAAGAGTGTACTTCCCGGGGTTGAACTTTATGATACGTTGAAAACTCATCAAAATGACATTTGGTGTTATTTTGTCTCTTTGCGAGAAATTGACAAGTTATATCCCGTTTTATAGCCCTTTGTTTTGGATTCTGCTTCTGCTAAAAATAAGTTCAAATTCGTTTCGTAGCTTCTTTTTATTTATGTATGAGTTATTTAAACATTGCGTATGTTCATCTAGACATATATTAATTTTCTGTAATATTTTTGAAATATAATTTATTTCATTTAATACATAATGCAGAAATATAGAAATAGAAATAAATTCTGTTTTTTTCATTTTCTTTTTTATTTGCAGCATTTCTTCCTGTTTTTCTTTTTTATTGTTTCTAAGGTGTCAGAATATCACCGTAGCGTAATTTTATTGCATTTAGCGAGGCAATCCTGCTTGACCAAATAGTCAGATTTAATTTTTTAAAATATATTTCTAATTCGGCTGTAAAATTTGTTAATAAATCCCATCAGTTTATATTTTTATTATAGAATAAATATATATCTTTTAATATATTAAAAAGAGGGTAATTTCTTTGCAACTTACATCTTTATTAATGACGAAATTTAATATATGAGACAAACGGTGTGCATATTCAAAATTCGCTTGAATATTTTTTAGCTTTTGCTGGATATTTGCTGATTGACCTTTTAGCGTTTAAAGCCATCATTGACAACACTCATAATATAAGTGCTGTCATATCCATGTATATAACACCTTTTAATTGAAATTTCCTTTTTATCCAAAATAATTAAGCTAGAACTCTTTCAATTCTTCGGAAAAATGTGCTTTTACACCACAAAATCCGATAAATCTTTCTTTGATTATAAAATTGAAGATTCTGAACTATTGTCTCTTGCAATAGGAACATGTCTTTAAACGATATTTATTTGGTCCGTCTCCGATATATTTTAAATGCTGTCTAATAAGGAAGAATAAAGGGAAGATGCATTTATCTGGTTCACCAAAATTTTCTCTAAATTATGACCAGCAGATTGAATCAACTCATTTTATATGGTAGGGCTCAAATATCTACTGGGCGACTTACTAGTATTTGAAAAACTTGTGTCATAACGTTGTCACATTTACTTAATAATTTAACCTGCAATAGAACATTGACATTATAACTAGTACTTATAAACTATTAATATGCTCAAGAAAAGCTAACACATTTTTGATATCATAAATGTAATGTTAAATATCCGTTCTAAAGTCATTTTACAAAAGTATCATTCATAATGAATTTTTTTCTTCGAGGTCTTTATCAAGAGTCATTTTTTTTTCATACGCAGCGTTCGCTTCCACATGTGATAAGAACTGTGGGTATTAATTCTTACCGTAAAATATTTTCAATGTTTCATACCTGAACGCCAACTACTATCAAAATTAACAAAGAAAGTTATGAAAGAAAACAACCATCAAGGTTTGAAAATTAATTCCCTACGTTTTCCTCGATCTGAAGACTACACGGATCGGCTCCAGCTGTACGTATCCTCCATTAGGCAAGCACACATGCAAATACAGGTTCAGGTAAAAGCATGGGAAACACCAACGCTGTACCATGGGTCAGCTGGTAATGCCTCTCCATGCTAATTAATCTTAAAAAAAAAGAAAAGAAAAAGAAAAAAATTGCAAGCTTTATAAAAGTTTACAAAGAAAAGGCTGAGTTCCGCCTATGAGCATCTGAAGAAGCTTCTTAAAGGATCTAGAGTTTAGCTGCTATGGTACATCTTGCAATCCCACCGTATACATCGCATCCAGTATTTATTAAAAATAATGATTTAGGTCATAATGAATTTACAATACTATCTCAATGCAATTTGAAATTCCCAAATTAAATTGAGAACGTTTGTTCTGATGTAAAAAAATAGCAGGTAATCATAATAAATAATAGATAAACGTAATTAGGTAAATACAGTAAGTACTCGGAACACAATAATATAATAAACTGTATTAATAGTACTAAATAAGTGTCCAAGAGCTTAAATAGTTTTAGAATAACAGGAAAAAACACTATGAGTAAGAATATGAGATCTCAGGGATATGGGAAAAGAGAAATTGAGAATATAGAAAAGGATTTTGACAAGAAACCAACACAATTTTTAAAATGTACTTAAA